CTTTTTTTTTTTTCCGCCTGCCTCCCCCCCCCCCCCCCCCCTTTCCCCCACCAAACACAGGCTCCATTTATTGGTGGGGAGCTGCACCTGCCGGAAAATGGGTCAGGCGTCCCTTACAATGAGTGGGATCCAATGGTTCAACAGAAAAAAGTCGAGTAGCAGCCCCATCCACTGCCGCTCTAGACGCTTGCAGGGGGGGCCGGGGCAGAGCTATGGGCTGCCCACACCTTTCCTCTCCCGAGGCAAAAGCTTAATGGCCGGGAAACAGACCTATGTACCCAGTCACACCCTGGGCTTACCGCGGGGAGGGAGGGCCTCGATGGTTGGACACCCAGTGACTGGGGCAGCGCTATCACACACTTTAAAGCATCACCACATTTCCTTTTGCTTTGCCTTTTCTACCCCAAGACTCCCCGTTGGACCATCTGTTTTTTTTTTTCTTCTTCTTTCCTGTTTGTCATCTCCTTTGCACAATCTTCCTCAAGAAAGGCCTCTCCTGACGAAGCCCATAACCCGTGGTGGTGGTCCAGGCTTCTGGACTTAAAAACGATCGTGCTCCTCTTACCACACCTCTCTCGGTTGCGTCCCCCTCCTGTCTCTTCTCTTGTGTCTTCCTTGTGCATCTGTTTTTTTTTTTTTTTTTTTGAAAGAAACATCATTGGCGCGAAAGCAGCTGCTAGCAGGAGTTGGTAAGAGCATCCTCCTGTAGCAGGCTTCGCAGGGTCGATGGCTCCAATCTATTGGTGGGGAGCTGCACCTGCTGGAAACGGGGTCCAGTGTCCCTTTAATGACATCCACCTGGAGCTAAGTTTACAAGAATCAATCAAATGGATACACAGCAGGAGGCAGCATTGATTACCCTGCCCAGGAGGGGATTGACTGACCTCCCTTTTATGAAGCTATACAAACAACCCTAATTACTTGCCCTGTCCATCCTCCCCTTGAACATCCGTGATCGTCCTTCACCCCAGCTTACGAGAGACAGTCAGCGCTTCTTCTTTCTGTGGGGAAGCTCAACCCTAATCCCACTTATGAAAGGACCATCGTGCCAAGCCACGCCTAAAAAAAGTCTCCCCTACATAGGTATCGTGGTAGGACATGGGCACAAGCTATGGAGATTTTGAATAACAACAGAGGCGGTTATGCAACTCGGCCCAGGAGGGAGAGAGGCCATCTACCGCAGAGAAAGAAGATTGCGACGTTTGCGAAATCATCGTGGAGAACCTCCCACACAAAGGGACGAAGTCCAATCCCAAGGTGGTCGCCAGGAGCGGTAACCCTGGCCGTCCCCCTTCTCTCGTTTCTCCGCTCGCATCCTCCCGCCCTCATCTTCGTCTCCTCGCATGGTCATTTTCACCCCGCAGATTTGATAGATCGTGTAATTCGTCACCCCTACGTGATGCGGTGTCACCCGGGAAATTTCTTCCAGCTGTTTGCCGGGGAACAACATTTCACTACCAATTATCAGAGCGCCCTTGCGTCGGCAGGTTTCCATTGCAACAAGGCAGTCTTGCTTGTCTTCGTCCGGTGAACTTATATGGTGCTGTTGACAGCTGGCTTCGCCCCGGCCTTTAGCCGATCCGTGATCGTGGGAGAGGGGGTCGTCACCCTCCCGTCGTATTGATGCTTGCTGGGCACTCGGGCTCCATTCTCCATTGCGCTGTCTTGAGCTTCAGCACCGATGATGGTGTTTTCATTCTCCATCGCGCCGTCTTTAGCTTCAGCGACGATGACGGTGTTTTCTTTGAAGACCTGGTATTTGGTCAACAGCAGATCTTCAATCTGATCTCGCAGACGCGTCAGTGAGTGAAGGCAGGCAGATGTAAGGTCGCTCTGCCAAACCCGATCTGCAGGGCCGGCCCGGTAATTGCAGAGCAGTCTTCAGCTCCTCCCCTAGCAAATCCAACCTGCAGACGCAATCTTCCAACCAGTTGATTGATGTCAAGTCTGCAGTGTCACCCACTTCTTTGACCGTTTTCCTGATTGCCTCCAGTATATGTTCATGGCTCAGCCCGTCGGCGACCTCCATTAGCAGGTTGTCCATGGCCGCAATTCTGGATGACGGGCTTCCTCGTTTTGACTTGAGTGGTGTTTTAGTGCCACTTTGGAATTTCAGGTCAACTGGTCAGCCTTCTGCCTCTCGGTCAACCTGCTCCGGATCTCTTACCTCCTTCGCAGGCACAGTCAGCATATCACGCTCGCTGCACTGTGTCTCTCCTCTCGTGCTCAAATTTCGTGAGCTAAACTCGTCACCCATTGGTGGGAACGAGGAGGAGACTTCTGCATCTGTTTCTACGGGCTGGACCCTCCCATCATCGCAAGTGTGGACGTTGTCACAATCATGTTTTTTGTCGGAACTTTGTGCTGTTTATGGCACCCTAAGGGTGTCGCCACACCACTGTAGAAATGTGAAAAAGACAAAAATGTGGCGGGTGCATCTGGCCATGTTCTAGCTTAAGGTTCATTCTCATTTTGTGCATTTCGACAGTGGTGTGGCCATGCCCTAATTGCGTGCTAACAGAATGCCCTCTTCTTGCAGCAGTGATCTGCCCACAGTACCCCCCTGCACAATTCTGTCTTCCAACCTATCTCACCTCACCGACTCACCATGGTCGCTCTACACTCCATTCACGACGGCTTGTGAGAGCTTGTGTCTGTTGGAAGGTGACATGAACGTACTTACCCCTTCTTTTTTTAATTTCCAGAAATCGTAGGTGTACGCTTTTCGTATGCAGAAGAGACACTCACTCAGGGCATACTCACACTGCGACCCCAAACCCGCAAAATATGCGGATTTGGGAAGGGCCGATTTGAGGTTTTGGGCATGGTTCCGGTCGCACTGCTGTACCTTTTCAGATGGGACAAGGCCCTGGCCGTCTGGGGCAATGGTGATTTGGTGCTTTGTTGGTCACACAGCACCATCCACAAATTGTGCAAGAACTTTCATGAACAAATTTTCACTAAGGGCATGCTCACACTGCGAACCCAAAGCTGCAAAATATGCGGATTTGGGAAGGGCCGATTTGAGGTTTTGGGTATGGTTCACGTCACGCTGCTGTGCCTTTTCAGATGGGACAAGGTCGCAGCCGTTTCAAGAAATGGGGATTTGGTACTTGGCTGGTCACACGGCGCCATCTACCAATTGTGCAAGAACTTTTGTGAACGAATTTTTGCCAATTTTTGAAGAAAATGCAAAAAAAAAAGGGAATTTGCGGTCACCTCTTGCCCTGCGGCCTCCCAGGCCGCTGACAAATGGGCACTGGAATAGGACATTTGCGAATTTGGTAGATCCGTGTGACCGGCGTTTTCCCCTTTTTGGGGGGATTTTGGGATTATAGGTCCCCGTGTGAGTATGCCCTAATTCTCGAAAAAAATGTGAAAAAATAAATAGGGCATTTGCGGTCACCTCCAGAGGTGACCGGAAATTCCCTTGCCCCGCGGCTACACAGGCCGCTGACAAATGGGCACGCAAATGGTACATTTAGGACTTTGGCAAATCTGTGTGACCGGTCCTCTACCTTTTTGGGGGGAAATTTGGGATTATAGGTCCCAGTGTGAGTATGCCCTCGGCGGAGCTATACTGTGGACCCTGTGGACATTGAGGAATTTGAAATTCGGCGGTCAGAAGGGGAGAGCGACTGACACCAACGATGGTGCGGGCTGAAGTCTAGTATCAAACAGGCGAGCCTGGCTGACTGGGAGCTTCGAAAGACTTGAACCCTCAAGGCGAACCCCTTCTTAAAATCCGTTCATGACATGCGTATGGGGGATCTTCACTCACTTCAATCCAGTATCGTTTTTGTGACTCTACTGAAGGTACCCCTAAATTGGGGAAACTATGCAAGTCACAAAATTGAGTTGTAATTGCACTATGGGCCAAGATACAGTTTCAAATTGCAGTTCGGGCAATGTATACAACCCAGCTTTCTGGCCAGGTAGGGTGCCCCAAGTGCAATTGGCAAACTGTATCTTGGCCCATAGTGCAATTATAACTCGCCTTTGTGACTCTGCTGAAGTTACCCCGTTACACTGTGCGGTCAAGCTGCTTTCATTCAGCTGCACGATGCATCCTCATGTTCCTTCAACGCATCGGTGTCTTCATGGTCTGGATCTGGTATCCCTTCACGATGCATCATCATGTCCCTTCAACGCTTCGGTGTCTTCATGGTCTGGATCTGGTATCCCTTCAACGAACTATCGRTGTCTTCATGGTCTGGATCTGGTATCCCTTCAACGAACTATCGAGGTCTTCATGGTCTGGATCTGGTATCCCTTCAACGAGGGGAGACACGATGCATCCCTTCAACGGATCTCGCACCCCTGACGAGGCTGCTGCTGCCAAGCAGTTGTTGAAACGCATTGGTGTCTTCATGGTCCGGATGTGGTATCCCTTCATCGAACAATCGACGTGTGGAGTCTGCGGACGTACCATCTCTTTAATCATCTCTATCGTCTTCTTCATCTTTTGCGTCTCTTCGCCCTTCCCCTTCCCCCACCTATTCTGTCGTCCTTTCTTCTTCTGTCTTTGTTATCTCCTCCTCTCCTCTTCATCATTCCTCGTGGATGATGATGAAGCATGTACGCATGTTTGTACCGTTGACAGGCCAATACATCGCTGCTATGTGCTGTCTGACACAGCCTATACATCGCGCTGTTATATGCGCTGTCTAACGCATGCATGCTCGCCAGAGTATGCCTCAACTACTGAGTACTGGATGCTCCTTTGTCCTTTTTTTTTTTTTTTTTTTTTTTTTTTTTTTGAAGAAAGCACCCGCCTCAACAGATAGGAGTGATGATAAGAGCATACACTCCTACTTGTCATGCAGGGGACTCCATGGATGCCCCTTTGTCCTGATGTAGTGAAGTGTGAATTCCATCTTTCAAGTTTTGAGAAAAAGTTTAAACGGAGCTATGCATGACAAGAAATGGGACCAAGGATGCTGACATAAAAGGTGTGACTATGGCCATTGATGTCTCTGATGCGATCCTTATTCGTGCAGGTGGCAGAGGATATCGTGAAGCGATTGAGGGCCGAGTACTATGGAAAGTCGTATTAGAGTGTGCCCATCCAGCTGTCCCGTCGGCTAGCTCATGTGGCTGAGTTGCACTGCCTAGGTGCTGGGTTCAAGACACGCCAAATTCGCCAATGCCACTCTCCAGAGAGAACGATGATTCTGGTAAAGTTTTTGGGGCGTTGCACTGCCCGGTAACCCGTAGCTTGTGGGGAGTGTGGCCTGGTAGAGAGACACACACCGGCCTAAACGCAGCCAGAAGGTGTCACCGGGCATGGCACGACACTGGCCAAAAGCAGGGTTGTTGATACCAGGGCGTCACGGGGCATGGAGCTCGTGTTGGTGGGTCCAAGACCCACACTCAGTCTATGTGGAGACGGGACATGCCTAAGAATCTGTTTGTTGAATATCTGATAACCATGACTCAATTACAATGCCTAATCAGCTTTAGAGAATATCAATTACCGTTGGTTGTTCCCCAAACCACGGATCAATTACAATGTCTAGTCAGGGTGGGAGATTTAAAAAAAATAAAAATAAAAATAAAAATAATAATAATAATAATAATAATAAAAATTCAATTACCGTTGGTTGTTCTCCCTGCATGAAGAACAGAACCTGCGCTTAGTGAAACGATAGATAGAAAACGGAGTCAATTGAGTCTGTGTGAAGCCTATCTGGCGAGAATCCAATTGCTGCTGAAGGATGGGGAGGGGGGAGGGGGGAGGAGGAAAAACTATATCAGCCATTGAAGGATGACGGTGGAAGATGAACTGCTAGCCATGTTACCAAATGATTAGTTAGTTGAGCATGGACTGTTTGTGCAACGATGTTATGATTGAATTAGACTGCTGGTCTATAGAGAGGACCGGGTAGTTCCAGATCGATAAGTTGTCTTAATCCACCATTCCCACAAGCCGCATTTTCGAACGCGGATTTCTGCCGCATGCGAAAAAAGAATGAAACGGAGCAGGTGCAAATTTCCCAGGTTCTGAGTTCCGCCACCCTTTTCCGTCCCATAGGCTGCCACACGATTTTGCGCCAGTTAACCCCCCGCGTTGGAAGAAGATACCTGGGAAACTTACTTTACTGGTGGCTTAAGAGGGCCTTGGGTTTTCTCAAGAATAAAAAAAGAGGAAAACTAAATTAGACTCGTTTTCTGGCAAATGGTATTCCATGACTGAATTCCTTAAAATTAATTGTGACACTTGACTTTTTTTTTTTTTTTACAACGCTATATTCTTCTCTCAAATCTTTTATCATTGTAGAGCAATTTGGATGACAATGATTGTGAAAGGTGCCAGTCTTTGTTGGTTTAGAGAACCAAGCTATTCCCTGTCTCTTATACACATCTAGATGTGTATAAGAGACAGGGTTCGGACTGTCCGGGTCTGGTGATGTCCGGATCACCAGACAGTTTGGACTGGTCCAGACACTGGTCCAGAAGACAGTCCGAGAGTGTCCGGTGCCGGGGTCCGTGGTTACCATGATAGCCAGGCCAGTTTTTTTGGCCAAAGCCT